GTTGTGTCAGGGGAGATTCAGGTTGGATGTATGGAAAAGATTCCCCAGGGAAGTTGTCACAGTACCAAGCCTGAGAGAGTTCAAGAAGCATCTGGATGTTCTTGGTGTGACTCCTGGAGCTGACACTGTGCAAGGTTGGGAGTTGGACTCAATGATCCTTCCAACTCAGCGTAATCTGTGGTCCCTGTCTAACAATACTACTCACAAAAGTGTCAAATACACAATTAGGTAAATTAGAAAAATTTGTCCCAGCAATACAGATTCCATTTAATGGTGACTCCAAGTTTGAACTTGTTTAACAGAAGGGCAGATTTACCATAACATGCTTAGAGATCTAACTGACACTACACAAACAACACTCTAATCAGGTACTAACAAAAAGGCTCAATTTCAGTTCCAATTTCCAATTTCTCATTGTAAAATAAACTTCTGAGTTTGAGTGCAATTTTTTCTCATCATCAATCAAACATATACTTTTTTTCTTAAAATAAGCTAGGTACAGAGGAGAAATACAATTAAAAGTCCAGCAGCACATGCACTGGCTTCCCCAAAATAGATGAATTAAGACAAGAAGAAAAGCTTTTTTGGTATGGAAACAGAGTTGTGGTTAAAGCCTCTAAGGAATTATTAAACCCTAATGAATCTTTTTAATTAACATTCACAGTGTCCTTTTAAATGAAATAATTTTGGAGTTACAGTGCAAACCGGTTAAACAAATCACTAGTTGGGAAAAAATATCCAAGTCTGTTGGTTTCAGATGCCTACACAGACACACAGACAGATATATATATATACTATATATATATATGGCAATGTATGGTGGAAGATTAAAGCAATATTAGGTTATCTTAAGGAGAAGCGTTGCTTTAAATTTACACACAGATGGTGAAAACTAGTGGCTGTAGTGCAGATATGCCAGGCTATACTAGCAAATAGATGTCTCTCTGCACCCCAGACTAGTAGAGAATAAATAATGTAAATAGATCATTTTCTGTAATAGATCAATACTCTGTTGTTTTACAGATTCAGGTACATACAGTGGTCTGGCTGTTAAAAAAATCAATACAAATATAGTGTCATTTTTGCAGCTGGGACCAGTGCAAGGGAGTAGGATGCTATAGCAAACTGTCTTCTTCAGCTCATTTCCAGCCACTCCAGTGCTTTGCTAAAATCTCTCAAATTTCATGAAATTCTGCAGAACAAGGCAAGTGTTCACTGCTCCACAAAGTGAACTACTTTTCACCCTTGGAAAGTAAAAAATATAATCTCTTCAGCAAGGCTGCAGTTATTACTCGTAGGAGGCTAAAGCAAGAGGTTGGTTTCACAGTGTTCAGCTTGCTTTTTTAAATCTGAAATATTTTGCATAACTATTGCAGCCATGCAGCATAGCCACATTCCAGCTATCTGTGACAAAGAGGGATGTCCCTGCTGTTATCTGATTTGTTTTTGTTGCACACAGAACTGATGCTATCCCACTGTATGTTTTGGATGTAATTTATAAACATTGCTTATAAATGAATAAAACTAGGGCTCTGGAAAACATTTTTGTTTAAGTAAAGACATTTTTCATATCATATTAATCTTCTCTATTACAACTATCATACAGATGCACACAATTTACTTATTTAAAAACATAGATTAGGACTGAGTTAAAATGGACTTTCCATTACTAAAACTGACTATGGAAAGGATGTAGCAGAATACTGCCACCTCCAGTTACAGACCATGCACAGAATATACTGAGTGTATTATTCTGTCACTTAACTCAGAATAAATGGTAAACAGGCATGAGCTCTGGCAAAAGGCTCAGGCTGACTGCCAGTGAAGAGGCACACACACATTTGAGCTTTTGCTTACAGCTGATTTACAAAAAAACCCACAAAACCTGATACCATAGAAACAAATAAACCATCACTCCCCACATACTATTATGATCAAGCTGCCACATCAGAAAAATTCATATTATTAGGGGCATTCAATTATGGACTCTGATCTCTAACTTAAGGGCTTTCCCTGCTCAGCTTATATTGGGTACAATATAAAGTTACAAGGAAAGGGAATCTACCTTTGTGGTAGATTTTCTACCTTTGTGGTATGTCCTTGCTTTCTACTTGTCTAGGATGAACTTCTAGAATTGTTCTAAAATTCTATGGGATAGTCTATGACGTGCAAAAATGTGCTTGGGGGGGAACATGCAGGCTGAATCATGAGTGCCCATGACCCAACAGGGGTGGAGGTTTAGACTGAATGTGGGATTCTTTTTTTGGCCAATGTGAAGAGGTAAGTATTATCCAAATACTGTAAAACCAGAAGAGCAGAGTTACAGCAGTTTAGGTGGAGAGGATGATGATGGGTGCTGCTTACTGCTATACAGGGGGTGAAAAGACATGAGATAAAACAAATAAAACATATGAAGTGTGAGAATACATCTCCTGAGTGCCATGTAAAAAAAACCTCATAAAGTTTCTGTACCCAATATCTCATGATGGCTAGAGCAGAATTTCTAACTTAGGTTCCAGCTAAGGCTCATTGCTGGCACCTTGTCCTCCTTACTTCTCCTTTCCATCTCACCTGTCTTGGCTACACTCTTGGGAGCTTCTCTTTTCCTGCTTCAGCCACTAAGCCATGCTACATACAACTCTGCCTTCTACATGGGATTGATCTTTCTTCCTCTGTTACTTTTCCAGTCTTAGCTCTGAAACTGCTCCTTGCCTTTTCCTTGGCTAAAATATCATCAGAGTTTACTTGAAACATGTATTACCTGTCAGATCAGCCACCAAGCTGTAACACTTGTTATTAGTACAGTCTTATGTTCTGGGTATGATTTGTTTGGAGAGAAAGTGAGAAATTGAATGAAGCTGAAAGAAAAGCAAAAGATATCAAGAGATGAAAAATAAATTTTGAGTTAAGACCAAGAGAATATAAAAATGCATGGCCTGACTAAGTGATATTTTGCTGGAGGAGAGGAAACAGATACCTACAGGTGTATGAATAAACACAAAAGAAAAAAAATACCTAGCACTTGGAAACAGTAGCAATGGGAAGAAAATAAGGAAGAATATTGAGATTAAACAATATATATTAGATTGGGAAATTGCCTTCCAAGTTGGAGTCTTACAATAATATTAACATTCTACTTTTAAAACAATTTGTGGAATATAATTAACCTTTAAGAAAAGCTTTATCTTTAAAGATAAAGCCATTACCATTTTGCACCAATATATGATTACATCATTTAAAACCCTATCACTGCCTGCATAAATGAGAATCATTCTCAGAGAGGAGAACAAGTAAGAACAACCATTGAGCTAGTAATAGTATGGAATATGTTTCCCTGTGTCTCTGGAAGAACCTTCAGGTGGTTTTCTCATTGAAAATAAGCATACCGTAAATGCAATTATGGCAGAAGGAGGGCAGCTAGAAAAAAAATTGAAATATTTTTGGGAAAATATAAATATTCAAATTTAAAATATCCCCAAATAAACATTTGACTTTTCTTTACAAAATTAGGTATATATTTCCAAATTGTCCTGACTTCAAAAATTACAATGGCTTAAAATTACCTAAATATTGCAATCATATACTCTGGATCAATTAGTTCATTTTTATTTATTTGTTTGTTTGTTTTAACTTTGTCTTTAGGCTAATAAAATAATTATTTATGCAAATCTACTTCCACAAAATCAGTGCCTAATATGGCCAGAATACACCTCGTACTAGATTTCTTTTAATGATTCATGAACAGTTGTTGCAGACAGCACTCCTGTATTTATAGAATTAAAGATCAAGAGATCATAAGGTCATCTAGGTTTATCTTCAGTGAATCATAGGCTCTTAAATTTCAATAGCTTCCCTGCTATATATCCAAAACTCATATTTGACTAAGGTGTATCTTCCAGACTACACTGAGCACTGATGTGAAGGCAAGAGGTGCAGAATCCAGACCTCCTGGTAATCTGTGCCAATATTTAATTGCTTGCACAGATTAAAAAATTTGTCTGATTTCTCATTTGAAATTGGCTCTTTTTATGCTTTTCTTCACCAGATTAAAGAGCTCTTTGGTAGCTAGTATATTTTTCCCAGGAAGGTACCTGTACACTGTAATCAAGTCACCTCTCAATCTTCTTGTTGATAAGGTAGACAGATTGAGCTCTTTTAGAGTCCCCCAGTAAGACATTTTCTCCAGCCCTCAAATCATTTTTGCAGCTCCTTCCTGAGCTCTCTGCCATTTTTCACTGTCCTTTTAAAGAAGTGGACACTAGCACTGATGAAATATTCCAGTAGCTGTCTCACCAGTTCCTTATGCTCTTTGCTGTACTTATTCATCCTCTGAAGAAAGGCAGAGCTAGTCAGAAGGCACCATCTGGTGAGGAAGTCTGACTGGTAGGGGGCAGATTTAAATACTTAAAGAGAAGCAGAGGGGAGGGTGGAATGGGCAAAGGACATTTAAAGACTGACTTGCTAGACTATGATCATTTTTAGTTTCCCCAGGAGGTTAGTGAATTCTTCTCCCTTGGACTGCTATTGCCTGTGTTTAAAAAGGTGAACAGCAGTAGACTATAAAATATGGAAAATGAAAATTTCATTTGGATTACACATGGATGAGAAAAATCAGCATCTGCCTGCTGGAAAACACAGGATTAATGGGGATAAGGCAAGCAGGGAAAAGAAAAAAGGAAAAAAAAAAAAAAAAAGAGAAGTGCCATGATAGCAAATAGGAACAGAAAAAATGCACAAAAGAATATAAATGGGAAGGGGATTCCATGGCCCTAATCGATGTTGTAACCTATGTTAAAAAAACACTGGATTACTGAAGTCTCAGAATGCAGGTCCAGTATAGAAGTTAATGACCACACTGTAAAGCCACCACCTGACAGGGGACACTAAAGCTTTTGTCCCAATCTCTGCAAATTGCATTTCTTAGTGAAAGATGCTTTTTAGAAGCTTATAAAGGTGCTGAGTTAAGAACAGGATGTAGAACCTGGAGGCTGTTTACTTACGCATCCAGCTGCTCCTCACTGCTGGGGTAGCTCATAAGGAAAAGACTGCCAGAGAAGCATAAAGCTGGCTGGTGAGATCACAGGCAACAGTCTGAGTTGCAGATATAAAAGACATGCAAGTCCAAGAGAGAGCTTTTGAATGACTTTCAGAAGCTGCAGAAGCCACAAGCACTCTCTTCCACCCTTCTGCAAGCATTTGTCTCTGGCTCTTTATTCAGCCATGCTTATTCATTCCTTCAGGATCTGTAGATTTGGTTTTTACAATGCATGGTGACTGAAGAATAAACTTGAAAAGTGCATGACAGCTCCAGTTGTTGCAGCATGATCCTGAATACTACAGTGAAGGTATTAGTCCAGGCATAAATATACTGCCTGAGCTCTTCAGTGACCCTGTATCTGCAGTAACACAAACAATGGTTTGCCACTTTTTACAAAACTCATCCGAGTAATCAGTAAGAATCCATTATAAAGGATACACAGTGTGGATGCCAGCCGGGTCAGGGAGAGAGAAATGGCAATTGCTTCTCACAGTGGCTTGTGAGAATTTTTAGGGAGTTGTAAGAATGTGATACTTGTTAGTATAAACAATCTGCAGGTAGTGTTTTTCCACCTTGTTTTTCTGTTCTTCTCAAGGACGGTGTGTGAGAAAGATGTTTTTATTAACTAGCCAATCAAGTAGAATGTATCCTATTGGTCTATATAACCTGAAGAATCCTTTCTATTAAAGCTTCTTTTTTCGTCTGACAATTTGGTCTCTCGTCTGTTCTTGCATCATGCTTGGAGCAAGGGTGACATTCACAGTATATAAAAACATGTTTTTGAACTGTCTTTGCAAAATTATGCTTCATATAATTTCTTATACTTCCAAGGGAGAAGAGTGCAAACTACTGTAATACTGTTGTTGGTTTCTGACTTATTTATAGAAACATTGAAACACCTAAGGCACATACAGTTGATTCTGAAAAATCAAAGCTTTTCTTTGTTGCTTAAGCCCTTTACTAAAGTTCTCATAGCAGCTGTCCATATAACTTTATTATTCCATACCAACAACTTAGGCAACAGAAAGAACATCAATAAAGAAATTACACTTTAGCTGCAAAGACAGCAAGTGTTTCTAGGAATTCAAGACTTGTTAGGCCTAATCCAATGGTGTTACTGAGGGAATAAGAAAGGAAGACTAACATGGAAGTTTCTTAAAGGCTTCTTAAATACTGAAACAGAGGAGACATGGTGTGAGATGCAAGAGAAGGAACCTTTGCAGACATTCTTTCCTTGTTTTGCAAACAGCCATTGCAGAGGAATTTTTTCCTGTTTGACTGACAATTAATCCCTTGAGCCTAACACTAGCAAATACTTGCCATACAAGTCCAACTCCCTCCAGATTTTCTCTCTAATTTAAGACTGTTACAAAAGCCCTACATTCTCGTGCTTCCAAGTCACTGCTACACTGTGAAAATGTTCCAGAATGCACAATTTGGAAATAGAAAACAGAATTACTATAAATATTAGGAAGATCTTTACTTGCAGGTGTTACATTTACAAAGTAAAATAGTAACAATAGATGATTCCTTCTTTCAGGGAATAACAAGGAAATATACTTAAGTGTTTCATTATTGTAAGAAAACAAAATGTAAAAATGTAAAAGTAAATTTTTACACATTTATCATGAACATGATAAAATTGATTATTCTTTCAAGAATTTTCTTATCTTTCCTTTTTTTCTGAAAATAAATTGTTAGGGAATGCTAAGAAACTTCATGTAGCTGGTCTTCTGTTATTCTAGCATGAAGAAGTAAAAGCTGTGGATTGCTTTCCAACTTATATATTCTAAATTGTGTTATATCTAGATAGATACAGCATTTTTATAGAGGTAAAATGCTTTGCACTTATTTTACTATTTGATAATTTGATTTTTTATTTCCAAAAAATATAATAATCCATCTTTATTTCTGGGCAAATGATTCCACCATGTAATAGAATTATTAACTCCTCAAGAATCTTCTTTTCAAACATCAGACTTGCTTCAATAGGGATAAGTGTCCTTAATATGTTTAAAATAGTAACATTTTGTTTTTAATTTACAGCTACTATACAAGTTCACCAGATGACTTTCCCATTAGAGTTTTTGAAAGATGCAAACCATGCATTCAGGTACATATTCATATCCTCTGATATGAATGTTTATTTCAAAATGTCTGCAGCAGGAATATGACATTGCACATACAGAGCCAGAACAGGACAGCAGAAAAATCCAGGTACTATTCCTGTTATTTTCCCATCTGCTATTTGACCTTAGCTAAATTACACTGAACTTGTGCTACCTCAATTTCCCTAGTTTAACATTTATATCAAGATATTTCATTCCCTGTGTAACAAAGCTAAGTACTTCTTCATATAAAAATGTGAGAACCCTTAGCAAAATTGATTCAATGCAAATAAGCTAATGCAATGCTATGGTTGAGAATCTGAACAGAGAACTCTCAAAAAATGCAAAGGCAAACTCCCACAGCAATTATAAAGTAGGTCATATTGAACGTATGTGTTAATGCATAAAAGGGCATATACTTACTCAGTAAAAATTGCAGTGGCTTTTAACAACCAGGCACACATGAGTTCAAATCCAATGCACTGTTTTCATAGCCTGAAAGTTGTATTTTAATTTAACATGACTGTATAAGAGGTAATGCATTGTTTGCATTATATCCAATCACTTCTGATACTGTGATCTATTGATCAATGTTTTCTTTCCTTTTATATTGACATTGTGGCAGCATATACATAAATCTGCAATGACACTACTTCATTTGACATTGTAATATTCCCTGTACAGATGCATTTATATCATTTGTAGCCCTTTAGAATGACAATAACTCCCATGAAATCAAATGATGAGCTATTATTATCACAGAAACATAATGAAAAATAACTAGCTTGGAAGCTGGATAGTAATATATTAGCTACCAACCCAAGCACTTCAAAACACAGTTGTTGTTTTTTAACACAGTAGATCCTAACTAAGTTTATCTTTTATTTGCAGTTATAAAAATGTGTCTTGGAAGAGATCTATTCATCAGTTATTGTCAAATGAACATAAGGATGATCATTTCACAGGTCTATCTATTTAAATGGTCAACAACAGACACTTGACCAGATGAGAAGCAGAGCATTAATACATCCCATGGATGTATGTTCAGAAACATATGAGCATCTTGGGATAAAAGTTGTACCATCACTACAACATTTAATAGCTTTCTCTCAAATTTTGGAATACCCTTTGAACAAATTTTCATAATTTTTTTGGTAATATGTTCTGCCCTAAGAAGAAACAGGTTTCCTGTCATATATTAAAAGAAAAATCTCTTTTTCTGGAATATAAATCAGTGACTAAGAAGTGATAGATATCTAAATACAAATGTTTAGTCTAATAAATGGAACTTATCTCTCACTTACAGGAAAGATATATGTCTATGTGGAAAAGCTTAGGCAAACTGTATGACATATTAACTTAGTTTTTGCTAATAGTGATCCTGTATATAATCCTAAGAAAGCATTTAGAATGTAGTTAAGGGGCCTGAGTTTTAAAAGCTGTATTATCTTAAAAAATTGGAGATATAAATAAAAAGCTGTCTCAAAGACAAAACACTACCACAGCATTTTTTAATGATGTGCCTCTGTGGATTCAGTACATTTGCTTCTGAAAGGTAACTCCATATGAAGCATGTGGCTTAGAACTGATATCAAACTCAATGATGTTATGTGATATCCACATCTGATAAATTTAAATTCACAATTTTCATGAAAGACTGTTTATTCATCATAAAGGCCAAAATCCTTTTTATTAGTGAATTTTTTTTTCCAGCAGAGTTGTCATTGTCTTTCATCTTGTACAATAAAAAACTCCAAAAAACAGAATCAAAAAACTACTTCTGATGTAGGGATTACATTGTAGATGTAAAAATAATTTCCTGCAGGAACTCTCTAAAGTGCCAGTGAGCAATAATTGCCTCTAACTTTATGGCCACCTAGGTGTGATTTGGAGATTAGAAACTGGTTAGCTGTTGAGATCCCCAGTTTTTGCTTGCACAACTAAGGCAAACAGCAGGAAAACTGAAAACTCCTGAATTTTACTTCAACAATCTGGTAGTACTGCTAAGCAGGGAAAATAGTATTTCTGTAACAAAACTGATCCTTTGAAGAGGTTTCTAGCAGGGAGTTAATCATGAGCTATCTAGCAGTAGTACAACATCCACAGTGCCTAATTACTTAGGTTATCCTCTCTGAGGGAACTAAAGCCTCCTAGGCTGTATCTCTGCTCTACAGAGCAGGAGCTATTCTTGCTCTGCAGTTGCTAATGCTTTTGAAAACCAACAGTTCACTGCGGGGCTGGTTACTTCTGAATCAAAGCACATCCCAGGTACTGTGTGAGGATGTGAAATACTGGCTACATCCCAGTTCCCCAAAACGTGAACAAACTGCTGCACCACTCAGCCTAGCTATCCTCTTTCTAACATGCACACAAAGCTCCTGTGTATTACAGTCCTTTCCCTCGGGGCAAGCTAATCAATCCAGAGATATCTAGCAGCTAATACATAAATCTGTCTTTTAATTTTGGGGTTTTTTCAATCAAAATCAAGACAGTGGCAATGAAGAAATTCACTCACATATCTTTGTTGCAGAGATCCTCTTCTGTTGTTGTGCTGGCCAGGCTTCTATTACCCTAATCCCAGTAGAAACTTTCCCAACATGAGTTCACAAGCTCAAAACTGAGGGGTTTTTTTTACTGAAGGTAATTTTGAAGGCAGATGACAGGACATTTTGGAGAAAGAAAATGTTCTTTCATAATTTTACACTGCAAAACTGGTGATTAAGAGTTAAAAAAAAAAGCTCATTTTCACAGGTTAAACCATTCAGATTAAAGGATTAATATGGAAAAAATTATGCATAAACTTTGAATAATCAGCAAATATTACTACAAAGTGGTATCTGCAACTTCTTGTCTAACCAGTCTCAGATACTTTTTCTAAGAAATTATATCTGCTGTTGTTACAATGGAGA